GCAATAAAGTCACTCTACAGTTACTTACAATAACATTTAAGACAAAGCAATTAATAAACAATCCAGAAAATTATTATTAAAATTGTTGTGGTTAATAACAATAAAATACTATGGAAAACGATAGTAAATTAATTACTGATACTGTTTGAACTGCAACCCACCTGCATATATATATATATATATATATATATATATATGTGTGTGTGTGTGTGTGTGTGTGTGTGTGGGGGGGGTGTTTATTTAGTTGACATATTAATAATTAAGATTTTGGCAAATCACAGTACTTTATATTGAATATTGCTTTTTAATTTTGCCCGACTGTGTTAAATTTCAAACCAAGTGAACGTTAATGATCTTAGTATGATCAATTCAAACATTCATCAAACTCTAACAGAAACACTTCTCCGAGTCCAGTACTCTCCACGAAATATTCAACAAATCAACGTAAAATCACCACCGAGAACATGGTACAAATAATGAAAAGCACAACAATAAAACTAACAACAACCCACCCGAACAAATTAAATAAGAACGAATGCCCCTTAAATGGTAATTGCTTACAAAACATTGAAATATACCAAGCCAAATTAAAATCATCAGATAACGAAGAATAAATATATATAAGAGTAACTGAAGGACCCTGGCAACAAAGAAACTACGCACACAAAATATCTTTCACAAATAGTAAATACGCGAACAGCACAATGCTTTCCAAGTATATCTGGGAAATTAAAAGCAAACATCAAATCCTACCAAAGATATCATGGAAAATAAGAGAAAGAAGATCAGCCTACAAAAATCAATCCAAAAACTGCAAACTCTGCTTGGCGGAAAAACTAGACCAAAACAAACTATGAAATAAAGGATTAGAACTCATCTCAACATGCAGACACTCAATGCAATAGACTACCCACAATGCAATAGACACCCACAATGCAATAGACTACCCACAATGCAATAGACTACCCACAATGCAAGAGACGCCCACAATGCAATAGAATACCAACAATGCAATAGACACACACAATGCAATAGACACTTACAATGCAATAGACTACCCACAATGCAAGAGACGCCCACAATGCAATAGAATACCCACAATGCAATAGACTACCCACAATACATTAGACGTCCACAATGCATAGAATACCAACTATGCAATAGACACCCACAATGCAATGGACTACACACAATGCAATAGACACCCACAATGCAATAGACTACCCACAATGCAATGGACTACCCACAATGCAAGAGACGCCCACAATGCAATAGAATACCCACAAGGCAATAGACACACACAATGCAATAGACTGCCCACAATGCAAGAGACGCCCACACTGTAATAGACACCCACAATGCAATAGACTACCCACAATGCAATGGACTACCCACAATGCAAGAGACGCCCACAATGCAATAGACTACCCACAATGGAAGAGACGCCCACACTGCAATAGACACCCACAATGCAATAGACTACCCACAATGCAATGGACTACCCACAATGCAAGAGACGCCCACAATGCAATAGACTACCCACAATGCAATAGACTATCACAATGCAAGAGACGCCCACAATGCAATAGACACCCACAATGCAATAGACTACCCACAATGCAATGGACTACCCACAATGCAAAAGACGCCCACAATGCAATAGAATACCCACAATGCAATAGACACCCACAATGCAATAGACTACCCACAATACATTAGACGTCCACAATGCATAGAATACCAAGTAAGCAATAGACACCCACAATGCAATGGACTACACACAATGCAATGGACTACCCACAATGCAAGAGACACCCACAATGCAATAGACTACCCACAATGCAATGGACTACCAACAATGCAACAGACTACCCACAATGCAATAGACACCAACAACGCAATAGACTACACAAAATGTAGATACTCACAATGCAATAGACTACCCACAATGCAATAGACGCCCACAGTGCAATAGACGCCCACAATGCAATAGACGCCCACAATGCAATAGACTACCCACAATGCAAGAGACTACCCACAATGCAAGAGACTCCCACAATGCAATAGACACCCACAATGCAATAGACTACCCGCAATGCAATGGACTACCCACAATGCAAGAGACGCCCACAATGCAATAGACTACCCACAATGCAATAGACACCCACAATGCAATAGACTACCCACAATACATTAGACATCTACAATGCATAGAATACCAAGTATGCAATAGACACCCACAATGCAATGAACTACACACAATGCAATAGACACCCACAATGCAATGGACTACCCACAATGCAATGGACTGCCCACAATGCAATAGAATACCCACAATGCAATGTACTACCCACAATGCAACAGACTACCCACAATGCAATAGACACCAACAATGCAATAGACTACACACAATGTAGATACTCACAATGCAATAGACTACCCACAATGCAACAGACACCCACAGTGCAATAGACGCCCACAATGCAATAGACGCCCACAATGCAATAGACTACCCACAATGCAATAGACGCCGACAATGCAATAGACGCCCACAATGCCATAGACGCCCACAATGCACCACTGAGCCCTACCCTATATTTAAATAAATCATATAACCTTCCACTACTTTATGAACTTTTATTGTTTATTTTAGTCTTTATCTTTTTAATTTTTAAAAAAGGTTTTTTGTTCTTTTATATTTACTGGCTATGGTTTGTATTCTTAATAGTTTAAATTATCTTTAAAATTTTAAATGGTTAATATAATTGTTTTTTTTTTTTACTTTTATTCATGTTTTTAATATTTTTTTCTTAATATAAACTAAAAAAAAACGATATATTTTTAATTTTATATCTTATTTGTAAACATATTTTGATAATTTTGGTTGGAAACCATCTTTTTTGTTATATAATTAAAAATTAACACTTTCGTTTTATAAAATTTCTGTTTTTGCGCTTTCCTTTAGTTTCTCTTCATCTTTGTTATAACCCCAATTTGGGTTTTAAGGATAATATCTCGGTTAAATTTGTGTAGCTTATATATAATTTTTTAAATATTTTTTTGGGCATCATATATATTTCGTCCAACTCCAAACTTTATTTAGTTCGATACACATGTTTCATAACTTGTTTTATTTAACAGTGTAAATTACGGAGCATTCGAGAAACTTAATAATGCACTTTCATCTAGGGTTCGAACCCCCTTTGTAAGAGAGACTACATTTTGAAACGTTGTTATACGTACAAACACACAAATTCTCAGAGGACATAGTAACACACAGCATTTGAAGTGTGCAAACGATTTGAAATAAGAGAATTCGATATATGTCTTTCTCATCCCATTCTGTGTCCGGAAAAACAAAGACTTTCTTATCACTTCACCTTCCATTTGTATGTTTTTATCTTTCTGACACTTCTACTGCTACTACAATGACGATGACAGGTCACTGGCCAACGCATTAAATTTAAATGAACTCAAATCTTTTGATGAAAGCTTTTATCTTGGTTAGCCTTTAATATTCAATTTTATTAAAAATCAAGCAAAATATTTCACAGAAGCTGTTGATTTTCATAGAATTTCAGGGAACTATAAGAGATTGTCCTCATAGTCTAATCCCAAAGTAGGAATAGGTTTGTTGCTTAACTGTTTTCGGATATCCGTCATTCAAAATATTCAAGAGAATATAAATGAAATATTTAGAGAAAAGAAAGAAAGGAAGAAGAAAAGAAAGAAAAACGGAAGGAGAGGAAAAAAATCTAAATTCAAGAATTTTTTAAAAATATAACAAAAGAAAAATAAGGAAAAAGAGACAATATAACTTATAAATAATGTTCATAAAACATAGTATAAAGAATTATTTAGAGAAAATAAAAGAAAAAACAAAGATCAGAGGAAAACATAAGGAAAATAAACGCCCGATAAAAAATTAAATTAATAAAAACCGACATTTTAAAGGTTTAAATAATAACAATTTCTAATTTTCAAATTATTTATAACAGCAGTTATAAAACTATTAAGGTTTTGCTTTGTTTGGTTTGTTTTACGGCATATCAACCTCAATGGGTTATTTAATGCCGACAAAATTTTTATTGCTGGTCATATTTTGTTTTTTTCAAAAATATATTGCTGATAATATTTTTTCCTTCAAAAATCTATTTCTGGTAATATTTTTCTTCAATCATGTATTGCTGATAATATTTTTTCCTTCCAAAATCTATTTCTGGTAATATTTTTCTTCAATCATGTATTGCTGATAATAATTTTTTCCTTCAAAAATCTATTTCTGGTAATATTTTTCTTCTAAAATATATTGCTGATAATAATTTTTTCCTTCAAAAATCTATTTCTGGTAATATTTTTCTTCTAAAATATATTGCTGATAATATTTTTTTCCTTCAAAAAACTATTTCTGGTAATATTTTTCATCAAAAATATATTACTGGCAATATTTATTTTTTCAAAAATGTATTATTGGTAATAATGTATTGTTGGTAATAATTTTTTACAATGTATTTCTGGTATTAAAACCTATTTTTTCTTCCTTTCCTAGTGCTTTGACCCCAGTTTCGGGGTTAACTCTTTGCCGATAGCTGAGACCCTAACAGGTGCTACCACCCCGTCTCATGGTGGACCTGGCAACACCAGCAATTAAGAGGCGGATCCACACTCCTCAAAACCTCCTGATCAGAGGCCTTGCTGTAGGATGTAGTTTATCGTCTTACCCAGGACGCGGATGAAGTTTATCATCATACCCAGGACGGAACTATCAAGGAGAGAGAACAATAAAAGAACAAGAATTAAGAAGGCAGAAGATAACGATTGCCATTGCATTTAAATTTTGAAGATCAAAGTTGACTGCGAAGCAAGTATCCGGAAGAGATTTCCACTAGCGAGACATGCGGGGAAAGGAAATGTTAGCATAGAACATGGTTACATTTAACTAGTTCAGACTATGAGGGCTGTATGAGCAGAAAGCGAGAGAAGGAAAGAGAAAGGAAGGACTATGAGGGATGTATGAACAGAAAGAGAAAGAGAAAGAGAACGAAAGGGCTATGGGGGCTGTATGAGGAGAAAGAAAGAGAGAGAAAGGGAAAGAGAAAGGGAAAGAGAACGACAGGGCTATGAGGGTTATATGAGCAGAGAGAGAGAGAGAGAGAAAGAGTAAAATAAAGAGAAAGAAAGGACAATGAGGGATGTATGTACAGATTGAGAGAGAAAGAAAAAGAAAGGGCTATGAGGGATATATGAACAGAAAGAGAGAGAGAGTAAGTGAAAGAGAAAGGGAAAGAGAACGAAAGGGCTATGAGGGCTATATGAGGAGAAAGAAAGAGAAAGTGAAAGAGGGAGAAAGAGATAGAGACAGAGAAAGGGAAAAAGAACGAAAGGATTATGAGTGCTATATGAGGAGAAAGAAAGAGAAAGAGAGAAAAAGAGAAAGAGAAAGAAAGGGCTATGAGGGTTGTATGATCGGAAAGAAAGAGAAAGAGAACGAAAAGGCTAGGGGGGCTGTATGAGCAGAAAGAAAGAGAAAGAGTGAGAAAGAGAATGAAATGGCTACGAGTAATGTATGAACACAAAGAGAGAGAGAGGGGGGAGAGAGGGGGGGGAGAGAGAGGGGAAAAGGAGAAAGAAATGAAATCAAAACCGACTCAATTTTAACAAAATGATAAAAATGGAAGACTTGAACTAAGAAATAAGGCAAACAAAAAGTAAAAAAAAAAAAAAAAGAAAAAAAAAAGCAGACTGGGCTAATCGTTTATCGCTCTTCACTCGTAAGAACTCAATAGGACCCTAAATAGGGAACATGTAGAAGCAAATACGCGTGTATCAATAATATATTGCGACGAGTACTTTTTTTAATCGACTCACCACAATCAAAGCGATAACAGTTGAAAGTGTTTACTGAGAATGAAAGAAACAAAGGATTAGGATTCAAGGGAACCGAAGATGATGATTGATATTGAACTTTAATTTTCGAAGCACGTAGCTGACAGACAAGCAAGAAACAAGAAGAATGGTAGAAGAAACTATTAGCATAGAACTTACGGTTGCATCTTGCAATTTAAATAATAAAATGATGAAACCTAACTGCCAATCTAGTACTGCGCTTAAATTCATTAAGACAGCGTACGAAAGCTTATCAGAACACTTACCGTAAAAAATATTTCTAGAAAAAGAAGCTACGTTATATCTGTTGGAAAGTGATTGAAATCGAGATAACAGATAAATATGGAAGGTAAACTCTGGCAAGGGACATTACATAATATATTGCGCCGATTTTGCTTGCAACAGACTTAGAAATTGATTCAATATAATCGTACCACTTCATGTCAGTGGAAAACCTGAGACCAAGAAGGTGCAGTGAGTTGTTCTCCTGAGGGTTAGCATCAGCCATAGTGATGGAAATTAAAAATATATAGACAGTAATTTCGTTTTGGAAGCATTAAAATTAAGAAACCATCAACAACAGATTGTAGGTTATTCTTCGAGATCATCTGCCAATTTGACTTTATCGAACCTATCTGACTTATTATTAACACAGAAGAAAATAGTTGTGTCATCGGCATAGTTATCGATTCGAGAACTGATGACATCTGGAAGGTCGTTGATATAAATGAGATGCAAAGTAGGCCCGAGGATGGTGCCCTAAGGAACACCCACATTTATTCAGAAACTTATTTGAAAAGCAGACAGTAGCTAAATTCAATATTTAATACCTCTGGGCCCTGAAAAGTGATCAAAGCCGAGATGCCAGGTCAGGACCAATATCATTGCAAATTATTCCTTGAAGTTTATCAAGTATCTCTAGATACATAACAGAATCAACAAACCAGATTTGGCAGCAATATTCAATGCCCAGACGGATTGTATACTTATAAATATGCAAGATGGATTCTAGCGATAAAAATTGCCTAGAACGAAACAGTTAATCAACTCTTCTAGCAGTCGGCCAAACAATTCTATACAATTCTATACAATCGTTGCATTTCATGCCATGGAAAATGTTAGATAGAATTTACAATGATTCCCTCTACCGGAGGTAAGCATCAACCATTTTCATGGAAGGCAAAAAATAAAAGAAGCTCTCTAAGGCAATTAAAAGAGAGCAGTTTTGTTTTGGGGACATCCAGATTAACGAGACATTCCTTGCCCCAGTAAACAACAGATTAAAGATTATTTTCGAGATCACTTGCCAAGTTGACTTTATTGAGCATCGATCAGGCTTATCATTAGGACAGGAATAAATAGTTATGTTATGAGCAGAGATATCGATTCGCGAACTGATGACATCTGGAAGGTCGTTGATGAAAATAAGATAAGTTCAAGAATAGAGTCCTGAGGGGAACATCGGTCTTAATCCAAAAGATTTAAAAATAAGGCCAGTCAAGAAAACGTCCATTTTGCGATTTAATAAGAATGATTATGTCAAATACAAAAAATCGGCTAAAAACACAATGACTCTCCAATTTCTGAAGATGACCAGCATGATAAACCCTATCAAACGCTTGTCAGATATTTAAGGGAACAGGCCTAAGTTTGATTTTCTTATTTAAAGTTCTTTCGTCAACTGATGACAATATATCGGCAGTTAAACTAGAAAAAACGAAAGCTATATTGTTTGTCTAATAGAACACCCTGCGAAGTGAGATACTTAACCAATAGGGTGTTGATTTGAACAGACGAGTAGAAGACTAATAAATCTAATAAAAGACTAATATAAACCTAATTAAACACTGATAAATCTGACAAAAGACTAATAAAATCTAATAAAAGACTAATAGAAAACTAATAAAAGACTAATAAAACTTACAAAAGACTAATATTTGGCAAAAAGGGAAGATGATTAATAAATCTATTAAAAGACTAATACAATCTAATAATGGCTAATAAAAGACTAAATCTAATAAAAGACTAATATAAAACTAATAAAAGACTAATAAATCTAATAAAAATCTAATATTTGGCCAAAAGGGAAGAAAACTAATGTCTAATAAAAGACTAATACAATCTAATAAGGACTAATAAAAGACTAAATCTAATAAAAGACTAATATAAAACTAATAAAAGACTAATAAATCTAATAAAAGACTAATATCTAGCAAAGGGGAAGAAAACTAATAAATCAAAAAAGACCTTTAAAATCTAATAAAAGACTTACATTTGGCCAAAATGGAAGAAGACTAATGAATCTAGAGTTGGAAGGATCAGGCAGTTTCACCTGAGTTATTAAAGACTGGAAGGACAGATGAGGATTTCCAACAATCTGGACATCAAGAAACAGCAAATGATCTGTATACAGCTTGTAGAGAGCAGTGTTCAGTTCAGGGACACATTCCTTAATCTTCAGGGTTACATATCAGGGGAGGTATCGTGCTCATAAACTTTGTGAGGACCCGGTTTGGAGATCGCAGTATAATCCATGGACGAAGTTATATTCATATCACACAGTAGAGAATCAATTCTAAGTGGAAAGACTGGCAAAGTTACTCCAGATGAGTCAAGAATAGAATTTATCAGCATAGGTTAATAACACTTCAATTGGCTTGTAGAGAGAAAGGCTAGACGATTAACCGCAAGTAGTCGCGAGAAAAAAAAAACTTGTGAGAAGCTATAAAATGCCTCATACTATTAAAGAACAACGACTCTTTGAGGATAGGTTTGAAATTATTCCGAGCAGACAAAAGTAGGCGTCGGTTGTGATCAGAGCTATCATGTTGGTATAGTCGGAAAATGTGATTTCTGGGGGTTGTATTACTTGAACTGGCAAATGAGCAAGGAGAAGTTGTAGTTTCTCCTTGTATTTGCGAGATGACAATACAGCCCTGAAGCCAGCCTTCATTCATTAGGAAAGCAGAGTATATATTTTTATAAATAATAACATTAAGTCCAGCCAACCAATACTTCTGTTTGCATAAGAAAGGCTGTTTTTGATTTAATTAAAATGTCTCTTTTTGCAGTAACTTATGAAATATTAAAAAAAAAAATAAAGTAATTACGGGTCCTTTTGTACTAGAAGTGTTCACTCAGGTTGCATTTAGATAACAAAATAGCATGGTTTCTACTATTAGAGTCCTGATGATAAGTTTAGTCATGTGTTTCATAAAGCTGATTGTCAGATGGAATTCACATACATTTCTACATAGTTTCTTTGTCATCGCTAACATTACTGAGACCTTCCAGTATTTTACCGCTGTCATATTGAACACAAGTATATAGGAAAATAAATGGATAACAAAAGATGGAGTAAAAGGAAATTGAAGGCAGTTGATAAAAGAAGAAAAGGAAACATCAAGAACAAAGGAAGGAAGGAAAGAAGGAAGGAAGGAAGGAAGAAAGGAAAAATGCAAAGTAGACTCGAATGAAAAAGAAACAGAATGGCAAACGGAAGAAAAATATGAGGGATTAAAATTGGAATGCAATATAAAAAAATAAGAAAGAAAATGAGAAGTAAAGATGTGAATGAAAAGAAAGAAAAAAGAAAAAAAAAAAGAAAATATGAGAGAAGAAAAGAAGGGCAAAGTGCAAAATGGAAAAGTTTGAAGGAAAATGGAACATATGAGAGACATATGCTGTAATGCAATAAAATGGGCCAGAAAAAGAAAGAAAGAAATAGAAAGAAAGAAACAATAGAAAGAAAGAAATATAGAAAGAAAGAAAGAAAGTTAGAAAGAAAGGGAGATACATAGAAAGAAAGAAAGAAAGAAAGAAAGAAAAGAAAGATAGCAATAAAAAGAAAGAAAAATAGATATAGAAAGAAAGAAAGAAAGAAAAGAAAGATAGCAATAAAAAGAAAGAAAAAATAAATATAGAAAGAAAGAAAGAAAGAAAGTTAAAAAGAAAGGAAGAGACAAAAAGAAAGAAAGATAGAAATAAAGAAAGAAAGAAAAAAATGAACGAAAGATAGCAATCAATAAATAAAGAAAGAATAAATAAACAGGAAGAAAATGGGGACGAGAAAAAAAAAGCAAGAAATACAGATTTTGCATTTGGTAAAAAGGAAATCGTAAATGAAAAATAAGTTAAAACAGAAGAAAGTGAGGAGAAACAAAATGGCGGAAAGTAAGTATCGTCAAAATAGCAACACATATGTGAAGCCCAACGAAATGGCAAAGTGATGAAAAATAACGAAGAACATGAGTAAGAAAGAAAGAAAAAAATGAATGGAAAAAGAAGAGGCGGAAAATGAAATATAAATTTTAAGGAAAGAGAAGAAAATAGAAAAGAAAATTGCGGTATTGGTGGATTTGATTTTGAAATTAGTGAATACAAGAAAAAGAGAGGGTAACATTTTAAAAGGTAAGATTATAGATCAGTAAGAAGAAAGCGAGATTAAATTTCAGAGAAGGCGCAAAGAAAAATGAATGAAATAAAAAAAATACTAAGGAAGAAGAAATAAAATACGATCGATCTATTGATTCGTGAAAAGAAATAGATATTTTTTAAAAATGGAAGCGCGACATTAAAAAATCATTTGGGCAAAAATTAAAAATGGATTTTGTAGAAATAAGAAAGAAAATAAAAAAGCAATGTTAAAGACAATTTGTGATAAAAAAATAGATTCTTTTAGAAAACGGAGAATAATGATTCTTGTATTAATTAAGACAAAGATGGAAAAGTGAAGATAACACAAGGAGGACGATAAAACCAAAAAGAGAAAAAAAAAAAAAAAGATTTAAATCCATCTAATCTTAATTCGATAAACTCATTTTTTCTAATTCTGATTTTTCTGGATTGATCCAATTTTGGATTGGTTTGATATAAACGACAGAACAAAAAGGAATGAACTAAAATGATTATCATTTATCTAGAGTTTTAATAGCAAGTTATTTAGTCGAAAGGATTATTTCAACAGCCAATTCTATTAACATTATCACGGAAATATTTCTTCTGATTGTAATCGTTATCATCTCGATTAAAAAAAAAATAAATTCATCTGTCATCACGACAGCCGTCTTTATCATCGTAAACACTTCAATCTTCCCCGCCCCAATTCCATCATGAACGTTATTCATTCTCAAATATATAATCATTACTTATTCACTACCATTAAATAAATAGACGGGTCCAGTCATAAGCAACAAGGAAAACAATTTCTTTGAGAAATCATTTTTGTAGATTAGCATTAATTAAACAATCCTTAAGCCGCGACTTTTGTCAGAATCCAAAAATATTGATTTTCTATCGATTTAGAAAGGGGGTTCTGTTTACAATATTGATACAGTATCAAATCGATCCTTGACTTTTAGAGAGTTATATGGACTTACATTTTTATTTACAAATATCAAGTCTGAAATTACGTTACTGATATCTCTATAAAAAAGACATTTTTTAAACGAAATGATTTCTTTTAAAGACCAAACAGATATATACATCTTATGTTTTAATTTAAGAAAATATTTTAAACAAGCAATAGTAATTTTTTTTTTTTCCTGGTTAGAATGTTTCTCGGTACTTTGATGTGTAATTAAAAAGAAAAAAAATAATTATCCTCTGTCAATATAATAAAACATAGCATTCCCTTTACACAAATATTTTCTAAGGTTATCTCAGTCTGGTATCAAATTAAATTTCTGCAGAACCCCGTCACCTGTTTCTAGCACTGCTACTAACCTACAATTATAGCCTTATACTGAAAGGTTACAAATGATAATTGTTATTATTAAGATATTTCTACATAACAAAAAAGTGAGAGAGCTCATCACCTAATTTCTTTTTATTAGAACCATTTAAGAGTAGCATTTAATAGCACTACTTAAATATAGTGGTCCCCTCGTAAAAAATGAGGAAAACATTCTTTGGAAATAATTCTCGTAGATCAGTATTCTTTCAAAAGGCCTTTGTTATGTAAGGATACTTATCAGAATAAAAAAAAATATTGATTTTTTAAATGATTTCTAAGCGTCTTGTTAACAATCTTTCTAATAATAAAACAATTTTTTAGGAAAATAGGTTTCTCAAGTTCACTGTTATTGCTGTTTGCAGTATTTTTTTACGATTGCTCACCAAATACAAGGCCTAAGTGCACCTCAAGATAGAGCATTACTGAGTGGGGATAAAAGAAGAAACCATAGAGAGGGAAATTAAAGCATATTATGAGGATATTTAGGATAGATAATTGTCAATGCTTGACTTAAAAAGGTTTAGATTGTATTGATAGTGGCTTTCATCCTAACTTGTTTTTTTGTAGAAGTATGGAATGTTAACATTTTAATTATGCCATTATTTTCCCATTGAGTTACAAGTACTATCCATTTTAGTTGTTGTTATATAATGAAAAAAAATGATGTTGTTTAATGGAGTTCTTGTTTTATTCAAAATGTTTACTGATTTCTGTTTAAATCATATGTATATGAGATCAGCTTTTCTTTTACAATAGATAAGAAATATTTAATGTAAATAAGGTTTAGATTTATGCACTTCATTGAAAATATTGTTTTTTATTGGAACCATTTAAAAGAAGCATTTAATAGCACTACTTAAATATAGTAGTCCACTCGTTGAAAATGAGGAAAACATTTTTTGGAAATAATTTTTGTTGGTTATCGTTCTTTAAATCTTCCTTAGGCTGTGATATTTTTCAGAATGAAAATATATTGACTTTTGTTTAACGATTTAAAAAGGGGGTTCTGTTTACAATATAGATATAGAGTCAAATCGATCCTTGACTTTTACAGAGTTATTGGATTTTATGTCAATTTTGAAAGTGTGGTAACATCGTTGATATCTTAGCATTTTCTTTAATTTTATGAATACATTGATTTTTTTAATTGATTTTTTTGTTTTTAAACTGTTTTGTATTCAATTTTTCCGTAATACATGCACAAATATTAGCGGTAAATAATTTATTTTAAATGAAAAATAAAAAAACGTTTAATATGTGTAAATCTTTTTTTTTTATATACACTATTTAAATCATTCGGACTGTTGTGTAATTTAAATTATTATCATCAACGTTTCGACTTTTTATAATAGAATATAATTTTTTTTGGGTGATATACGTTCTTTGTCTAAATGTACTGAATCCTTTATAGAGGGTGGTATTAATAAAGGGTTCAGATCGAAATTCAAAGAATCAACATAAAAAAATATCAATAAACGGACAAACGTTACGGATATGGTAAATATAAAATGATATACAGCATCAAGACTTACTCATGATCAAACATTTAAATTTGTTGTCTGTTATGATTTAAAGAAATGATTTTGTATTTGCAATATGCAAAGAATATACTTTATATATATATAAAATAGGCATCAATGAAAAGAGAGAGAGTAGAGAGATACTTCTTCCACAGTTCTTCAAAAAATCCAGGTTTGAAGTCATTACAGTAACATAAATTGCTGTTGTAATTCATATATTTTCTTCTAAAAAAACTTTGACGTTGTTATTGAAGCTGCATCAGAATTATTTTTTAAAAGAAAACATTGAAAAAAATTAAAAAAAAACAAAAAAGACACAGACTGAAAAAAGTAATCTATATTCCTTTTTTTCCGCGGATTTGAAAGTATGAAAAAATTATGGAAAATAGTTGTGACTAGTGTTAGACATTTTGACGGTTGTCTTCGAGTATAGAATCCAGAGGTTGGCAGTGAATATTTCAGAGACAGTAGGAAAGCGTAGTGAAGGTTCGCAGTGGATATCGCATTAAAAAGAGCAACCGTAATTTTCCGTCTTTCCTGTTCGCCGGACAAGTTGCATCACACACATTCCGGTAAGAAACAAAGATGGCACACACACATACACACACACATATACAGTGTTGTATATATTCTGATTGGTCAATATATATATATATTGGTATATTATTAAATTTAATAAAATTTTGACTCGCTCACTAGTTACATACGGTATATACCCAAAAAACCGTAACAACTAGAAAGACCCGCTAAAGTTTCTCGGTTTTTCTATCTTAATATTCTGATGAATCTTAATTCTTAAGTTAATGATTAAATAAGCTCATGGCGAGTTCTACGACAAGAGAATGTACGTTGAATTTCTCCTGTGACGTCCCCCAGCCTTCGCTCGCTCCTCGCTGCTTCGTTCGGGTGTCGCCGCTCCAAACGTGACGTCCGCCTGTCTGCGTCAGTCGTGTTGTCCCGTCCTGTGACGACCAACTGGCTTGGTATCGGTCGCGGCACCCAAATGTGACGTTCTAACCTTTTGGTGATTCGGATGGGAATCTGGTTAGATTCGATATCAGCCTCGTCGTTCCCAACTCGCTTCCAACGTCTGGTTACCGAAGTAACTGCGTTGATCTCCAGTCCGCCTACCCACGTTGTGAATTGATCTTAGGCAGACGAAATCAATCAGTCGTTGGGGCCGTAATGCAAATTGAGTTCAAATGAGGGTGGTATCGCACAAATATCTGTAAAAAGAAAATAAAATAATAACTCAAAAGTTCAAGGTATCAAAAAAAAAACAATAATACTTTATATCTGGTTGTTGGATACATAGGACTGCGTCTATCTCCCGACCCAAAAATATGGATTGTGACACGTTGTTTTTGTTAGGTGAGTTTTAACATCTTAAGTTGTCTGTTCTTTAAGAAATTGGTTCTTGGTGTGTCTTCAGGCGATAGTCGTAAAAACTTATTTTGGTGGTATGGATCTAAGTCGCTCTTCAAAAAATAAATTGTTCTTGGATTGAAGATGAGTTCGGAAGTTGCGCGAATCTTTCAAGTCAGCTTTTTGCGAGGCCCACTTCAACTGCGAACTGAACTGAAACGAACTGGAAACTGAACTGGGAAAACTGATTTTCGCTTGCTGCGACTTTTGCTTATATGGACGCCGACCAAAACCGGGGTGGGTTTTGTTGGGGTTTGAGGTTCCTCGATAATTCTAAATCCATAATCCCCTTCTTTTATTTTTCGGTCAGAAAAATTTATTATTTTCCATTTTTGGAAGTCTTCTCTTACCCCGATATGGACTTCAGGGGCGTCAACGATTTTCCCACTTCTTCGCAGCAACAACTCTTATACCTATCCTCTTTAAGGAGTAGTAGCAGGCCTCCTTTTCCTGCATCACATGATCACCTCCACCTGGCTCTCGTTAACATTCATCCAATGGCTGATCAACAGTGTGGGCAT